ATGAACGAATAGGGTGAATTTGTTGAATTAGTGAGTTTAATCCAAAAATTGATTTGACAAAAAGGATTTTGGTGTTTGTCGATAATCGATTTTGAAAGTCAACTGCCAGAAAGTCAAAATTGGGATTTTGATGAACTGATCGAATGTGTTGGAATCGAAAATCAACTGGAATGGGTTGGGTTCTATCGATTGAATTGGGTTCTTGAATGAAAAGCAAAGTTAATTTGGAGTCGATCGATCGAAGTCTTTGGTGTGATGATCGATAATTTTGATTTGGGAAGGCTAACGAATTCGATTTTGGAGGCGATAGTCTACATTATTTGTTGAAAGTGAATTTTCTGATTTCGAATGGTTGGAGTCAATTTTTGATGGTCGACGACTGATGTATAAGAAACGAAGGCTGTAAAATTCTTTGAAGAAAGTCGATTGATAAATGGAAAACGAAAGTTTGTGTTGGAGATTTTCGTATCTATGAGTTTGATTTTGGGACTAAAGCACGAATGTTCAAATTACTTGATGTTGAGTTGCTGTTGAACAAACGAAAAGTTTTTTTTATTTGGATCTTGATTCAGTGGTTGAATGATTCAGACAAGATTCAGAGGCTTCGTGTGCCTTCGTTTTCGTTAAAATGGCAGTGGAAAAATTTTCGTTGGTTTGGTGCTATGATTGAATCTAACGAAGAGGAGAGAGAAAAACTTTCGTTAAAATCGTGCTCAAAAGTTTCGTTCAGATGGGCAGATGATTTCGTACGAAGGGATGAAATTTCATACGTTTGCATGAAGTTTCGTACGTTGCTGTGAATTTTTTCGTTTGATTGGGGAAGATGAAGTTTTGTATGAATTGAAGAAAATTTCGACAAATTAATACAAAAGACAAATGATATGAAAATGGCCCCTAAACTTACGAAAGTTTAACATCTTTTACAACTCTTCGAATGTTGGGACAATTTTTCGTATGTTTGGAATGAAAAAGAAGAGTTTCGTAAGCAGTCCCTACACTTTTGAATGTTTGGCAGTTTTTGTCCAACTTCGTCAATTGGGGTATTTTTCGTATGTTTGGTGGGCAAAAGGCAGAATTTTCGAAATCAGTCATTGAAGCTTCGAAAGTTTGGCAGTTTTTGCCCAAATTCGAAAATGGACTGATTTTTTGAGAAATTGAAGATTGTGCATTTCAGGCCCTTACAGTTTATGTAAATTGACGCTTTCTACCCAGCTTTGGAAAAGGGGGAGAGTTTTGCATTTTTGGCTGTTTTGGGCGCACCGGGTCACTGCAGAATTTTGAAATTGACAATTTCTACCCATTTTTGAGAAATTTTGTCAAAGGCGGTCCGTGAACGAAGATAAAAATTGAAGATTTTTTGGGTTTTCCGGATTAAAGCACAAAGTTTAGGCCACATGTTAAGGGGGAGTTTTGACACGAAAAATTCCGAATAGAGCACGTTCTCTTTCCTTGAAGGTTTTATAATCAAATTTCGATTATAAAAAGGGGGAGAAATTTATATGGAAATTCGAACTTGAATTTTTCATATTACGCGGATTTGAAGACTAAAGTGACCTTGAATTTTTGAAGTACACGAAATGATGCAATTGGAAGTTTGGAACTGATTTCGTTTCGAAATGAGTTTGGTTTTATTGAAGATTTTCGGGGTGTGTTTTTATGCTCAACTTTTGGGTGATTATTTGGAGTTTGAGAAGCTATTGATCATTCGTTGATGCTTGGTTTGTATGGTCTCACATCCTAGAACCCAAATTGAAGAATCATGGAAGAATTGAATATTTGAAGTTAATTTCGACATGTGTCACCCTTGAGGCTCGGATCGCGTAGTTGCTCGATTTTGGAAGAATTGAAGTGAGTCATCCATTCCTAACTTTGAGGGGAGAATGTTGGGGTGCAAAGTTTTCCATGTATGACTTTGTAATGTGTTGACTTTTGTAAAACCCACTTGCATGTTATGCATTAGCCTTTTGACTCATGAGATAGAGAGTGAGAGAGAGACATGTAAACACCTCTATATAAGGTGGGTTTAGTCCACTTGTAGAGGTGTGCTTGAGAGGTGTAAAAGTTGAGTGTGTGAGTGTGTGTTATTTATGTAGATGTAGATCTATGTCCCTTTTTGTAACACCATACATATTCATTACATCTCTTAAACACCCAAATCACCATGTTCATTGTGTATTCTTTAATTTCGCATGCCAAACCATGTTCATAATTCACATCACTCTTTGCTGTCTAATTTATAAATTATATTGGTAATTGCAGTTATAGACTTATCCAAGTGGGAGACTATTGGATTATGTGTCTAAGCCAATAACTGAATTAGTATATACTTGAACTATTAGCAAAGTCCTTTTGGGTTGCCCTCAAACCTAGTATTCAAATAAGATTAGTTTTAGAGAGAGAGACTGATTTATTAAATTATTATATGACTAATAAATTAATTAGAAATAAAAGTAAGTAATTAATTAATATATTAAGAGAATAATATATTAATTTGAAATAGTATTATTTAATTATAAATTAATCAGTATTAATTTTGGGATTAATTGAAATAATTAAAAGCGGAAAGACTAAAGGTGACAATGTTAAAAGTTGAACATTGACCAATTCTAGAACCTCCCTAAGAGGAGGGACGAATTCTAGAAGGGTTCTAGGGTATCCTTGGCCATTAAGGGAGCCTTGGATACCTTAGGGAATAAGGAAAGGGGATAAGGTTTATCTAAGGAAACATGCATTATCCTGGTTCCCTTAGTCACCTATATAAATCCTCCATGGGGTTCATAATTTCGGCCATCTTATTCCCATAAGGCATAGCCGAAATTTCTCCATCCCCTCTCCTCTCTCTTTAAGCCTTCTTGTTGCTAGGGTTGGGTGTGAGCTATCAGAGACATGTGATTTCTGGTGCTAGCTTCCAAGTGACTACAAGAAGGATTTTGTTTGATTATTTACTAGCATAATCAAGAGGCATGTTTTTCTAAACCCTTTAATAATTTTTGAAAATACCAGGGTTCTTCTAGGGTTCTTGATGTTCAATTGGTTACTGCATTCAATAGTGAAAACATAGATCCTCTTAGGTTGAATGCAAACTTAGGGTTTAAGTTTTTCCGCCAAAATATGATTTTTGTAACTTATAAATCCCATCAATATATACCAAGAGACCCCAAGACAATAGAAACCAATACAGAGTGACCACCAATTGAAAGCATATTAGCTTTCCATCTAGACAACCTATTATTAAATTTCTCAATTATAGGATCCCAACTTTTGAGCCTCGACATATTATTGCTAACAGGGAGACCCAAGTAGAAATTGGAAGTTGATCCACCTTATATCCAGTAATTCCATCAAAAATTTTGACCTCTTCAAAATCTACACATACACCATACAAATTAGATTTATGCATATTAAGCTTTAGGCCAGAGACAAGTAGAAACATTGCAATAAATGAACATCTCACATATATTGGTGCGATCCCAATCACTCAAGAATAACACGTCATCATGTTTCTTTATAAACTGACCTATTTTTCATTATCAATTTGATTGAGCCACCTTTCGTAATCATTCGCCTTTCCTTAGGTATAAAACTTGTTATGTTTGTTCCTTAGTGTAAAAGAAATAGTTAATATACCGCATGCAAAAGATTCTAAGAAATAATACTAAATATTTCAAGCATGAATGTCAATCATCATATCAAAAATGTTAAATGATGAGAATCATGTTGTCATGACTATAAATTATATATAAGATAACAAATAGATATTATATAATCGAGATTATGCATGAACTTGAGGACAAATCCGTCACAAAAAAAGTATAAATGTTATTTCAATATATATATATATATATATATATATATATTTGGACATTTTATTTTAATCAAAGAGAAATTAAATATCCTCATACTTTTGTTTCTACAAATCCTCATACTCAATTACATAGTGATATGTGTAACATTTAATGTTAATTTAATGATATTTTAGTATACTAATATGACACATGTTATCATTTAAATGGGTAGGAGGATTTGTAGGAACAAAAAATAGAGGAATATTTAATTTCTCTTAATCAAAATATACCACAATAAACATGTTTCATATTATCCATAAATAGAAACAAAATATATGTTTTTTTATGTATAATCCTATTTTTTTTTGTTTTATATCGTTTCTAGTCGATCATTCACCTATAAATAACAAATGTATCATGTTAGATTGCATTACGTTTAACATTTGCTATCGTAAGTGAATTAACATGACCGTTAGAGCTAGGTTGTTATTCCCATATAAATTACCATTTTATCTCATAAGCATTTTTTACAAAACTTCATTTTCTGCATTAGATAAAATAATCTAAATATTTTTTTAAAGTTCCATTTTAACACTGAATAAATTAATAAATATTTTTTTTACAAAAACATATAAGTTGTTATAAATTAACAATTTCAAACAACTTATACGATTAAAATTTATTGTTATATAAACTTGATTGTTAAAACAAGTAGGGAAAAATAACCTATCCTCTAGCAACTCAACATATAGGATGATATTATCAAAGTTGGTTAGCATAAACAATTACTTGTATTTAAATAATTTTCTTTGTTATATCTAATATCTTTATATATAATAAAATTATAAAATATATCTATTTTGAGTTATATTTTATTAAAAATATTGAATAATAATTAAACATATTAAATAGGTCTAAACGCATTCTTTCAACATTAACAAAAAAAATTATTAATATTAATAAAAAATAACACATGGTTTTTATGGATTATTTAAAACTAGAATAAAAAATTCTAGATGTCAAAATTCTATTTGTTTCTTGCGAAGGAGGCTCCATTTATTTTAAGCGGTTGCGACATAATAAATTAATATAAAAAGAATTAATGGTCCACTCGGTTTCCTTCTTCTGGAGGTTTTCATAGATGACGTCTTGCACTTCGTTTCTTCTCCTCATTAAGACTTTGCCTTCTTCTATTTATACTATTCCCAATTTCAACTTGCAGAATTCCGCCTTTGTAAATTCTATTTCCTTCATAACTTTTACATCAAATCATTACGAATGGATCAAACTGTTCAATATCAAGATCCAGACTACCTTATAGTAGAAGACAATGAAGTTACAAAGCCTGATAATGATTCCGATTCCGATTCTGGTTCAAATACCCAAGTGGTTGTTCCGAATTACTGGCAATCAGGGATTTTCAGAAAGAATAACAAATTGATGGTGCATAGAATTGAAGAAGGAACTAATGATTACGTGAATGTGAAGAGGAGTTTTGTAAATGGAATGAAGAATTTCGAGAAGAATGTCGAATTTGTTGGGATTCACAGGAAGAATTATGAATGGAGTGTGATCGATGAAGCTCGGGTGGACGCGTTTAGGGTTTTCGCAGCGGCAGTTGCGAGTAGAAACGGTGGAGATCCGAACATCAAGTATGGTTGGTATGGTGGTTCTCGTGAAGAGATTCGTGAGATTTTGTGTCATGGATTTCGTCGATTTGAAAATAGATCGTCATCGTATGGCCATGGTATTTACTTCTCTCCGGCGAACAATCCAATGGCGAGGTTAGTAAAAATTTCTCAACTCAACCAATATCGATTTATTTTGATCAATTCATATCTTCAATTTCCTGTTAATTTGTTCCGATTGTGTTCATTCGTGCTTCAATTTTCAAGTTCAAACCAACTACATTCCAAAGCTGTGGATTTTGCTACAGATTTTAACAGAAACAATCGTTGTAAAGATATATCTATTCAAGTTCTCGAATTGTTACTCATTTGATTTAATTAATTCCTTGCAGTGCAAGAACATCAATGGCTGATTCCGATGGCCTAATGCATATATTATTATGTCGATTGATTTTGGGAAAACCTGAAGCAATTCCTTTTGGTTCACGAATAGATCAACCGACTTCAACAGAATTCAACTCGGGTGTTGATGATATTTCATCACCCACAAAATACATCATTTGGGAACCTTACATGAACACTCTCGTTCTTCCAGTTTTCATCGTCACTTTCAAAGCAGATTCATCAAAAACAGGTGATCAGCAATCTGTAAGGATGAAAAGGAAACCCCATTTGAGATTCGATGTGCTCATGAAGCACCTTGCGAATTATTTAAGTTCTTCAAATATGGCCTTAATCAACAGACAACGTGAAGCGTTTTATGTAAGTTTTTCACTTGGATTTTTCTTCTTCATCGCTTATGCATCTTAGAGATTGATGAGTTTTAACTTGTTATTTGGCAGAAAAACAAAATTTCAAGACACGCATTTATAAGAAGCTTGAGGATGATTGCTGGAGATGAGGTTCTTAGGCCAATAATGAAGATGTTTTATGGCCCACAATGAAGTATAATTTATTCCTGTTAAATGATCTGAAGAATAGACGATTGTTTGCAAAATGTATACTTACATGGATTATTTAGTTGTATACGAAAGTAGTTTCTAGTGGATAATTTTTATTGTAATAGTATTTTTGAGTATACATGTTAATAGCAAAAAGGTTTACCAATTTGCATACCCATTACATGAACAATCGACTTTAGAGTTCAATAACGTTAAAACAATTGACAACATAGTTAAGCTAATTAAGGTCACGTATTATGATATTACAAAAGCATATATTGAAGCATTCATCGTAGTTGCAATGGGGAGCTTGATGTGGTGAACTAAATGGAATAATTTGGTTAAAATCAAGTTGAATGTGATGGTTTGGAGTAAGAGCGGGTGTTTGGACCATTAAACCGCTACAATACTTTGAGACCATTAAACTGGTACAATACTTTGACCGATACCGCTTTATAAGAAGAGGCCCGCTTATCGGTTCTTAGTAAACTTAATATTCATTTTCTTTTTTATTTATGTATTTTGTGGAAATTTTAAAACATATATATCCGATTCCGTTCAAATCGGATTGACAATGCGGTTTTTTCAGCACATGGTTTAGGATTTGTATATTTTTAGACAATAGTTTTGTCATTTTTGATTTCCTCAGGTTGGGATATCAAATATGAAAATATTTAACTTTTCAACAATTTTTTTGTATTTTGTATTCTGTCAAATTTTAAAACATGTACATCTAATTTGTTTGAAGTTTCAATGACATGTAGGATTTTTTTTTTTTTTTTACGACTTGTAGTTTGGAGTTCGTAAATGATTTTGGACTATAATTTTGTCATTTTCGATTTCATATTCAATGACTTATAGTCCCCGAAGTTGAGATAAGTATCCACAAATTTTTTTTATCTAAAACGAACAATTAAACAAAAAAATGTATTTTTAATATAAAACGAAAAATCAAACCAAAAAGCGTATTCATTTTAAGAAAAAAAAAACAATCTTTGGTATGGCTACAATGACTTGTACAATATAGATCTGACCCATTCCAATGGGTACAAGAACCGGAAAACCCATATCACGAACCGAAACCGGTAGATCTCAATAGGTCCAGTCCATAGTCTACCCACTTCTGCAAAACCGGTTCCAGTCGAGTCCGACCGGTTCTGTCCAAATGCTCAACCATAGCTTGGAGAATACATATGAACAAATTACCTCCAAAATAAATTTGGACGAAATTTGGACGAGCGGGGTACTGAGGTGGACTTGCTTTTATGCCAATCGTGCAATATTCATGTTGAGACTTCGAATCACCTTCTTTTTGAATGCCCGATTGTGACTTCTGTTTGGAGTTAGTTGGCAGTTTGTCGGATTTGAACACAGTGTTTGTTACCAATGTTGCAGACTTTTCCTATTGGAGAATCAAAATTTTTTCAATAACACTCACAAAAAATGTTTGTATGCATTTATCATCACTACTATTTGGACGAATTGGAATTTCGAAACAAGACAACTTTTGGAAGGGTTAAATCTAGAAAAACAATTTTGTTTGATAAGAAAGTGTTGTCTTTGTTTCTTTGGATGTTCAATAGAAGTAGAAAGGTTAAATTAAATCGGGTTTCTGGGTTTTAAAATCCAATCATTGCCATAATGCCATTTCTTCTCGTTAGTTCTTTAATGCCATTGTGAATTGTGATTCAACAAAAGTTGTTGCACACAATACTACATTTATAAGTATCTAATATATAGGTAATTTATGGTTTTTATAATTACCAAACAAAAATTAGACATCACTAATAATGGCTAACCTACAAGGCTGAACGGAGTCGTGCAGCTAATGCCGAACTCCACATCAGCAAAAAGGGGGAGAAGAAACTTGGAAGAAGAAGAGAGGGAGAAAGGAGGAGTGGGTTGCCGAGTGGAGGAGAAGAAAGGAGGAAGAAGAAAGAGACTCGGCACATCTCTACCGAGTTGCTGAACCGAGCTCGACATGCTGAGAAGTCGGCCCGGTGTTCACCGAGATCGTCGAACCTATTGTCGAAGCCACTCCATATGGCCTAAAAGATTTATTACTTTTGTCATGTTTTCAATAACTTTTATTTATTAAAAATCTATTATTATACATGTTTTCCAATGACTAAAATTTTCAAAAGATTTAAAAAAATAATAATAATTAATTTACCTTATTTTTCTTATATTTTTACATAAACTCCTCTTATATAAAATTTTAATTATAAGTGTACCATATATTTTTGAAAAATATTTTTCATTTAATAAATAAAAAACAATAAAATAATATGCTATGAGTTTCTATAATCTTTAGTATTTGTATTATTTTGAAAACTATTTTCTATATTGTATTTTTATAAAATATATTCAAATCTATTTTGTATATATATTTAAATAGATTAAGTAATAAAACAAATATCTAATATAAATAAGGTGTAAAATCTAAATATAAAAGCGTGTAAAATAAAATGATATGAACCATAGGGTCAAAAAGGACAAAACATACAAGTTGATTAAAATGTTAGAGTTTATAAATAATTGAACTGACATCTCATTTTAACTCACCTTTTAAGGGTAAGAACCTTTTTAAAAACTCTTTCAAATAGAAAAAAAAAAGATATGGTGAAAGATAAAACTTAAAGGTATTGGTAAATAAACTTTCAATGATTTGACATTTATGTATGGGTGTGTACGAGTATATATATATATATATATATATATATATATATATATATATATATATATATATATATATATATATATATATATATATATACTAGGTAATTTTCAAGCCCCATGCTAAGCACGGCCGCACGGCCTGTGAAGGGTAATTGGTGTATTTTAAAAAAGAAGGTAGAATGTTATAATTAGATGATTTTTTCAAAGTGCAATGTCATAATCTTAGAGTAGTGAATACTCCAAATACAATATAGCACATGGAGAAAGTAGCGTTCAATTATTATCCTTTTGCAGATAGTCGGATACATAAAGTTCTAACATAAAGTAGGATGCCATAAAACTCATAAATAAAAATGTGCTGTTAATTCTTGAAGATGCATAATATTACTCCACTGTGTTGGTAAAACGTATTTATGTATTCAACGGACATTAAATTCAAAAGTTGCATTATTTTTGGGACATAAGTTAGACATCTAAATAAAAGATATTTCAAAATGCAAACAAAAATGTGTTTATTTTTTTTTCTCTCACTGATGCACCTGACATTGTAGAAAACCACTAAAATGTCATACAAAAAGAAATGAAAACATGATAAGTATTGTAACTAAATATGCATTAATCAAATACCCATCAAATTTTCCATGTTTTATTGCATTCTTAAAAGGTCAAACATTGACCTTGTTACAGGTTAGAACAAATTAGTTAAAAATGAATTCTACCTACATCTTGTTATCCAACAATAAAATTTTCCCTAATAGACAACTTTCCTTTTTGATTTACAAATATTTTCCTTATACTGAACCAAAGAGATAATGTTATGCAAAAATGAACATTCTTTGTTGTCCCAACCATGATGAAATATTAAAAAAAAAAAGATAATGTTATGCATAAAAACAATGATATTTTACATCCATGTGCTGTTTCCACCCGGACACTACACAAACGTCCTTCAGTTTAGCATATATATCACAGATTTAGCAAGAAAAACCTTACCTTCAAAATCTGATATCTATAGTCATCTATAGGATAGATACAACTGAATGTTTTGTAACAAGTAGTCAACATTTAAGAATGATGGACAGATTAATTGAAGAATAATCACGAAACAACAACAAAACTCAAACATAAGTAGTCACATAAATCCCCAATGTAATCGTGAAATGAGTCGAGAATCTAGGGAACGTAATAAAGACAAACCCAAATATGATGGGAGATCATTAAGAAACTAACTAAAGAGGCTTACAAAACTTAACTCTAATGGTCAATACACATACAAGGCATGAACTCACCAAAAAGGTAGGAAGCCTATAAAGAACCAACAACTAAGATCATAATTTTAAGAAACACGTCATTGACAAAGGGAGCTCGTGGATCATCCAATGAAATCATAACAATTTTCCAATCTACCTCCAAATTAGTGATCATGGATAAACAACCTAAATGCTTGACTTTCGTAAGTTAGATGCAATAAAGTGAATGAAGCACAATAATATCCATTGTCTATCATATTAAGAAACTATCATCATATTTAAAGCAAGGAACAGTGACAAAACAGACACTCTATCAACAATCGTCATTTTTAAGCTATAAAAACTTACAAACTGGGGAACCTCGATTTAAATTCACCTTCAAACATATACATATTCCTTGAAACATCTTAAGTACAACAAAAAAATAGTTTGATAATCTTCTTAAATGATAAGGTTTACTTAGGTGAGTTGCTATTAAATATTTATAGCACTATAAATAACTTGAACCATTAACAAAAAGCTTTCAAAATGCATAACATGACACTGAATCAATCACATTCAGAACCAAATATATATATATATATATATATATATATATATATATATATATATATATATATATATATATATATAGAAGTTTTCAAAGGTGAACTCAAGGAAATATGTACGACTTTGAACTTACAGTTGATAAATTTTTGAAAAGGACCCCTAAACCTTCTGTTTTTAACCTTGAGCAACCTTCTCAACAAGAACTTTAGCCTCCTGTCAAGAACATCGCAGCAAGTCAGATCTTCAATTTTAGCAACAAAATCAAGAAAACAAGAAATTACTGCACATATAAGTTCACCATGTTCATATGTTAGGATGAATTAATCCTGGAAGTAAATCATAAATGTTAATTCTAAGCACAATTATTAGCAGACGAAATAAACCAGTGTGCGATGGATGAAGGGAGACCCCAGAATCAACTAAGGTATACCAACAATTAACAAGGTATTACTATGAAGAAGTTCCTCTAAATCTTTCTGGTGATGCGGTTTTTTGCCATGGACGAAGAGCGGGGATGTGGAAAAGAAAATCAAGTGTGCGATGGATGAAGGGAAATCGATTTTAGGGGTTGCAACAACTTGAGACTTAGATGATGCTTACCTGGAACATAAGCGACCCACATCAATTTCTTACTCACCAATCATCGATTTCCCTGTTTTGATTTCAATAGCCCCATCAAACAAGACTTTCGAGTTTCCTATCAAGACTGGGGGGGGGGGGGGGAAAGAAGAAGAGGGGTCATTCGCCAGAAATTAGGGCTTTGTCCTTTGTTGTTGTGTGGAGGCAAGCAATCACGTGAAGAGAAAAGAGAAAAAGAGGGGTTACCTCTTCATTCCATCTCCAATTCGATGTCAAAATTGAACACATAGAAAAAGATTGTCGTTTTCTTCCATAATACACAGCTTCATTATCTTTTCTTTCAATTCGATTCTTGGAGGCTGTTGGAAAGATCGTGTTAGTTTATGCATCGTTTTTTGAAGCGGTGGTGTAGTCAGGTATCACGAAGGGAAAGAAAGGCGAAGAGACACGTCGGTTTGCGCTGCCAATTTTGTATCCGCCATATATTAATCTTTAAAGTCATCACACGCGCCGTACGCGCTTCATAAAAAATAAGGTTTTTATATATAACTAGGTGAAAACCCGTGGAACCCACGGGTGTTAATGTTAAATAGAATTTAAAATTTAATTATGTAATAAATAATATACCATTAAGTTAGAAAACTTATATTGTATTTTTTTAATAAGTTTTTGATTTGTAAGCATTTAATTACACAATAAATGATAAGTATTTAACTACAAATGAATTTTAAAATTAATTAAATAATAAAATAAAATTTCATTAATTTTGACAACTTATGAATTGTAATATTGAATTTTTCAAAAACTTTTTGATTTGTAAGTAATTAATTACAAACTAAATCATAAGTATTTAATTAGAAATGAAGTTTTTTGAAAATCCTTATTTTTAGTGCATGATTCTTGTTGGACATACGCAGATGATGCATTACCGGTGTGTGTAATGAAATTAACATAAAATAAACAAAACATAATTATAAATAAATAAAGTAATATGATGGATTAAGTGTGATTTGCTAAAAATGAATAAAATATGCTACAAAAAAGTTGGCTACAAATTTTGAAAAACTTCCTTATAAACAACATTGGAAGTTTTATTTGTGACTTTGCCATCTTTATCTAAAATTAATAATTTTAATCATTCTCTGCTTTGAACTCTAGATAAGGCAACATATAATTGTCCATGTGAAAAAACTGGATCTTTGAGAAACAAACCAACCTTTGATAACGATTGTCCTTGACTTTTATTAATAGTCATTGCAAAACATATGGCCAAAGGAAACTGTCTTCTTGTGAATTTGAAGGGAATCTTTTTTTCTGATGGAGTTAAAGATATTCTTGGAATAAAAGTCCGGTTTCCAATATTAGTTCCAGTTATTATACGTGCCTCAATAACACGTTTGCCCAATTATAACACCTGTAGTCGTGTGCCATTACATAAGCCGTTTTTCTGATCAATATTTCTCAGTAACATTACTGGAACACCAATTTTTAAAACTAACTTATGATTTGGTAAACCGAATACTTTGAGACCATTTAATACATCAGGAGAGTATAAATTTGAATCAAACTGATCATGGACAAATTCGGATTCACATATGCTGTCTGAACTTAAATATTCAACTTCATCTCCTAGAAACTTGTTAAGCAAACGGTCGTTTATTTCCTGAACAACTTCATTTTTTGGAGCAAGTATCGCTCTTTCTTGGAAATAATTTGTGTTAATGAAGTTCTCCAAAATTGACGGATATACAAACTCAATTAAGGAACCTATAGGATCATGTGAATCATTAATGAGAATATCATCAGGAATATCGATAATCGTTTCACCATCATTCGGGCCACCAAGTTTGCCTTCTCCTATATCCAATAGCCAATTTGCAAAATCTCTTATTTTTCGTATATCAGATTGATCCCTTCCAACAGTTAGCCTCATGTTTTTTGTTAATCTATGGACTTTGCAATGTTGCCATAAATATGAAGAACTCAAAGAAGCATTTACAATGTTCTGTCTACTGCCACCCGGAACAACAGGTAGAATCTGTCTAAAATCTCCTCTAAAGACAATAACTTTCCCTCCAAATGGAATATTTGAGATGGTTAAATTTCCACACCTTAATAAATCCTTCGAAGTTCGATCTAAAGCTTCAAATGCATGCTTATGGACCATAGGTGCTTCATCCCAAATTATTAAAGAGGTTTTTCTTATTAAGCTAGCCAACTCACCATCTGGATTTATTTTACAAAAAGAATCCTCTGTAAGTTCAAATGGAATTATAAATCGAGAGTGTGCTGTTCTACCACCGGGTAATAATAAGGAAGCAATACCACTTGAAGCAACATTTAAGACAATATTACCATCAGATCTAATTGCTGCTGATATTGTATTCCATAAAAATTTTTTACCCGTTCCACCATAACCGTAAACGAAAAAGACATCTCCTTTATTTTCTTGAATAGCACTCATGATGTTTAGGAAAATGTTACCTTGCTCATTTGTTAATGCAAGAAACATACGATCATAATCATTCTTTAAAACAGGAATGTCGTAATCTAGCTCCTCGGTGATAAGTCGATTGTTTGAAGAAGAAACGGATTCAACATCTGGGTATGACATATTTTTGAAGTTTTTGAGAGTAGAGTTGTTTCGAAGTAAAATTTGTTCTATTTCGAACAAAGTTAAGTTTTTAAGTTCATCTACTCCGAGTGACAATTCTGCATGAAAATATTAAATAATTTAGAAAATATGTGGTCGATATTTAATAATTTTATTACTAATTATACAATAGCTGTTGAATAAAAAAAAGAAATTAAATAAAGTAAAAAATAAGAAAAAAAATGTAATACCTGCAGACTTAAATCTTTGTCGTTGGTTATATAGAATTCCATCTGCCAAATATTCCCATGTATTTTCCCAAACGACCTCTGGTTTAGACATACTATTACACATCAACAATGTAGCAAATAAGAAGCGTAGATAAAAACCAGATCCATAATGACTTGCTTCTTTAATTGCATCAATGTATTCCTTGTCATCATCTAATAGCCCGAGTGCATAACAAGCATCTCTGAAAGAAGAGTGTCTTTGACCATTTACCGTGAGAATTTCATCAAATGATGTCGGACCTTTTACTTTATTTAAAAGAATCCTTAAGAAATATGCTTCACCTAGTTTAGGTGAAACCGAATGAATTCTACCGATGGCTTTTCCTACTTTCCTTCGCTTCCAAAACCGACCATTTAATATCCAAACAAACTTTGTAGGAAATTCAACATATGTAAGTTTTCGTGCTTCACTGTCGATTGCATTACACTCCATCCAAGATGTGAACTTTGAAGCCGCAACAGAAGGTTTGTCAAGAACATCATCAATATCATCGTCTTCGCCATATACAATCTGTTGTTGATTAGGTAGATGAAAAGGTAGTCTGACAACAGAAGGATACCTGCAATGAACATCGTATTTAAAAATTCGCCATGATGCTTCACATGCAGATAAATATCTACAATTTGTAATATTCAACTATTTCATCGACCACATCATTATTTTCACATTCATTGTTTGTTGGTACAACAGCAACCGTAGCTCTATCAGGATCCTTGTTTATGTATTTGAACAGATACTTTATAGAAGATCCTTGATTGCACCATTCAACATTAATATGTGCCTGATATCTTTTTAATAGATATTTGTTGTATGGAACAACATTTCTATTATCCAACTTCACACCCGATTTTTCTACAAAATGACCATCGTTTCTTCTCCTATATAACGGAAAACCATTTCCATCAACAGACGAATGATCACAGAATTGTTTTGGAAAGTTTTTTTAGCACTTTTTATCCACCATGCATGGACAATTGATATTTTCAGCTCCACATGGACCATGAATCATGAACTCATTGACAAGTGAATACAATTCCGGATCTTCAATTTTGTCTGGTATCTCGGCAGAAATTATCAGATCGATAAATTCAACAGTGGGTAACTTGTTGTCAGAATGCATAAATAAACATATATGACTATGCGACAAACCTCTCTTTTGAAATTCAATGGTATAAACATCTGCAAAATATTTGGCAAAAAAAACAAAATATGATTAGACAATAAAAACATATAAAAAATATACTATAATAAGAGTAATGTTTTATCAATAATGAAAAAATATAATTTTAATTACATGCTTGAACTGTGCCGAAAATTTTATTCTCCCTTAAGTCTTTAATAAATGCATCGAGCTTGATCTTGAACAACCTACATAATATATCATGCCTGTCTTCTGGTTGAAGTGAAGTATCCTTAAGAAATCTTTTAATCTCTGTCCATTTTGGATTACACGTAAAGGTTATGAAAAAATCTGGATATCCAAACCATTTACATAGTGACATGGCATCCAAATAGTTTTGCAGCATATATCGTGCGCCACCAGTAAAGGATGAAGGTAATATGACACGTTGTCCGACATTGGAGATATTCGTTGTTCCTTGAGCTTTTTGGTTACGTAAATTTTCATAAGACTCACATCTAAGAACATATTGTTGCCTACGTATGTAATGCAATCTCTCCGTTTCCATCATAGTATATGCATCTACCAGAAACTGCTGAAACAACCTTTTTGAATTAAGAATGAGGGAGAACGAATGATCTCTATCTTGAATTCTAAAAGCGAAATATTCTCTCATTGTACATTTCGCCCGCTTGCTGTTGGTTGTAAATGAAACACCTCTATGAAGAATGTCAACACTGTAACCATCATCTCCATATGGAAATAGCAGTGGATATTGAAGAGGAAGGTATGAAGGATGCAATTCACTGATACGTTGTAGAAATCCAGTTTTTGTTTCAACAACAATATCCCTCTTTTCAATTGAATCACAAATGTCCCCGACAATTAAAGCGGCAACCTCTGAAGCAGTCGGTAGGTTATATGTTCTTCCATCTCGCTGCCTTCTCCTGATAAGTCATAGTTTCATATCAACTTGAGGGTTTTTCTGAAAAGTATCTCTTGCCATCCTATAAGATCTAACCAACACATTATTTGAATCCAACATCACCTTTATATCTTCAATAATATCACTATCAATTGAATTTGATTGATCTTTTACCCCACTAAAATAAATGAAATTATACATAATATTAGTAATATATATATATATATATATATATATATATATATATATGTGTGTGTGTGTGTGTGTATAATCAATAATTATGAATAAGAAGGATGAAAAAAATACCCAATGCATCTTTGTCTATTTGAAATTTCGTTCTCAGTATCATAAATGTATAACTGAGAGAATTTTGGTTCCGATCCTTTTGCTGGTAAAAGGCTTCCAATACTATGATAATTTTGACCACCCAGTCTGAAAATGTATGGAGCGTTTCCTCTATTGATTGAAGTATCAATTTTACCACCCATCGACGTAAAAGAAAACATTGAATTGTAACGTCTAATGTTTTTCATGAAGTGTTTGCTTTTAGAATCCCCATTTCGAAACATTCTTTCGTAACTTGGCAGTGCTTTCTTTAAATCTGGAATTTGAACTTTGCCGTAACCACAACATAAAGAATAATTTGTGTTCCCTTTTTCTTTACCTCTAATGGATTCATTTCTCCATAACTTTGCATGACATGTTTGACATACAACATTTTGATCACCATGATCCAAATATTCTGTAAATTAAAAGGCGATGAAAAAAATATCAGTGAAATTTATAAGTATATACATCGTAGTATTTGAAATGTAAAAAAAAATGAAAATGAATATTATTTTTTTATTACCATTTGAGATACCAACTATAACGTTTTCATTTATGACTTGATGTATATTTTCTACATTATCTGTCAAATCAATCAAAGGGATAGGGGATCGGCTTCCTTTTTAATTTATGACATCCTGGATTCAACTTGATTGAAGATGAAGAAGCAGTTATTGTAGATGCATTTTTCGATGTCATATCATTTGAAAGTACATACTATCTGGTAAGTTGGAAGTGACATATTTACCGAAACCGATGTTATCTGAACAAAAAAATGAAATAAGTATACATATACTTATATCCGGATTATAAAGAAAATTAATAATTGTATATTTTAAAAACAATAAATTATTACCATTTGTAATGTTAGATAACGGATTTCTAACATTTGTAATGTTAGATAACGGAGTTCTAACATTTGTAAAGAAAGGAGAGTATTGTACGGTTGTATTTTGGATTCCTGGTGAATTAAATGAACTGACAATTTGAGTTTGATCAACAATGTTGGTTGATTGATCTGCAAATAACAAAAATTTATGACAACTAAAGAGATATGTATACAACATAATAATAACCTGCAATCATATAATATTACAAGATAATTAAAAAAATATGAGAAATCATTTATTGTAAATAAATGTAAAATAAGCATAAAACATTGAATAAAAAAATAATAGGATTATAATTAATTATATTTTTTAAGAGATGAGGTATTGATGTACTTGGAACGTTGGATGTTGTATTCATTTTCTTTGATCTTTTATTTTGCAAATATATTTTTCTTTGTCTTCTTTTCTCTCTGGCTTGCAAGTGACACATGTTATTGTTGTTTTCTGCATAACATATAATATGACAGGATATGAAATGTATAATTACGTAAATAATATGTTTATAAAATAATGTTGAATAAATAAACGTACCTTTGTAAGCATCGGTTACCAATTTCGAAGAATATTGAGTTGCAGCGGACGAAGATTTTGACAAATTATCTATTTTTTTATGTTAATAAATATTTATGTTATTCAAATAAATATTATGTGAATTAAAAAATAATAAATAACAATAATAGAATTTGTATATGAAAAAACTTACCTTTGTAAATCGAAGTTTTAACAGTAGTAGTTGTTGAGGCTAGATTTGTTGATGTAGTACCCAAATTTTTATTTTTGTATTATCTAAATAGAAACTATTTACCTTTATAGACTTTTTAGAAGAAAGTGAATGCATTGTATGTCTGCAACATTCATAGTTAAGATAAATAAAATTAGTTATAAATTAACATGCTTAACAAATAAGAATTAAGTAGTTCATATAATAATTATCTAGCGAATAAATGGGTATAAAGCCAATGTTTTGTCATTTTTAAGTATTCTTGGTAAGTAGTTGGAAAAACAATACAATTTAATTGTGTCGTTTTTTTGAAATTGTTTATTAAAATGTACATATAAATTATAAATTAGTTTATTAATGTATTATTTATTTATAAAAAGTATGTCAATTGAATAGGTTGTATTTCAAAACTATAGAGTCGAATAGTAACAGAAGGGCAATTCTGATTTTTCAGTTAGACATTTAAAGATTGTATAGGGTCTAAGCAAATGTCCGGTTGCAATTTTATACTTATTTCTTTATTTATTTATAAAATTTATTTTTTTTATTTATTAGTATTAGGATATGGGATTATTTAAGGCCTTATAAATACACATGTTGTGATTCAATTTCTAACATTTTACACATTACTGGATGTCATTGGGAGGCATTTTATTCTGCATTTTCATATTCGAACCTAGTAACAACCAAAATGTATCACTTTAAAAGGTTCATAACAATGTTGTTGATTAATTAATTAATTACTTAGGTCAAGAAATGGCAATACTGTCCTCACCAACTCTATCTGACAACGTCTTCTTCATTACTACGTTTTCTCAGCATCCTCCCAAGCAGATGTACGCATCTCAATGGCAGTTTTACCCGATTTTTCAGATTTCAAAGAAGAAGATTCATCTTTATCTTCTACCTTGCTAGCCCAGGCAGCAATATTCGTCTTCTCCAACTGAGTTCCAAGAGCTTTGATCTCTCTTCCAGGTTTCATGAAATGGCAATACTTTTTACAACCAACTCTATATGTCGTCATCTTCTTCATTACTCCGTCTCTCTATCATTCTCTCTCTGTGAGTGTTGCTACCAAAAAAACTAAAACCCACTTCGTCACCGGTTAACCATCGGTCACTGTCCTCGATTCCGGCACAATCGATTGGGTTCAACAACGCATCAAACGGAATGGGAAGATTTCATCGACGATGACCGCTGCTTGTGCGACATAGTCTCCATCAGTTGAGAAAAGAAAATCAATCCTCACACCGAGTCTCCTTCTTCCACTGCCGACATCAATTCCTTGCGAATGGAAATTACCACTCATCATCCTCATTTCAAAATTAGGGCTTCTTCAAGTTCCATTTGTTCTTTCCCCAATCTCACACAATTGTTCATTCGGATGATCCTAGAGGGTAAAACCCTAGTTCTCGATGGAAACCTGATAACATTGTGTCAGTGTGGAATCGATAACAACTACGGGTTGCATTTAGTTTCCGACATGTGAAGCTGCTTCAAGGCGAAAGAGGAGTTTGCATATAGTCTGTCAAATACTGGATTATCAGGTTTGTCAATCTAAGATTAAACCCCAAAATTCCCTTTTCGTTCCTTGAATAATTGATCGAATAAGATTCAGTTTCAAGTAATCCAGGTTATATATAACTTATAACCCGATGTAGGTTCATGTTTTCCATATTAATGTTTTACAACAGAGGTTTTAAGTTAACTGTTTCATGTTTGAAGCAGCTAAGGTGTATTTGATCGAGAAATTTTGTTACAGGAATATATGTCTGTTGAAATCTAATTGATATTTTGAATAATTTATGGTTTATTTTATTGAGTTTAACAACAGGTAAAACATTTTGGTTGATGATTTGTACATATTGTTAGAGATGAAGAGATACAAAAACGTTGTAATGTAATTTGAACATACATACAGATACCATTTTAATATAATTTCAAAACACTAACCTGATGTGAATAAGAAAATCTTCCAGGAATTAAGAGACTTTTAAATCAAAAGCAGTTTACGTCTTCTTCAGAATGTGGAATAGAACTTGTATTCCAAATCTTGATGTAAATTTCCCGAAAGAAGAGTCTTAGATGCAATTGAAAGAAAAAGAAGACGAATCAGGAATTTAAAAATTATATGTTAACGTTCTGAGCTATATTTATAGATATAAAATAATTTTTTTAATATTTTTCAAAATATAATCCAGATTTTATGGAATTATTGTTGTTGATATTATATTGGATAATATTGAGTTACCGATTTTATTGGATTTACTACATTAGAAATGAATTTAATTTTAATATAGGATCTGGATTTAATATTTGATTACAAAAAATTAGGAAACAATCATTGACATAAACGAAAAGTATCATATATTGATATCTTTGACTTAGAAATCAATATATGAATATTCCTGAATTATTAATTTTTTAATGCAGAGATTTATTTTAAAATGGAAAATTTCTTTGTCCGTGATTCAAAATCAACCAGTGACTTTAATGGAGGTAATTGCATGCTTTTGGGGATTATGGATTTGATTAATACACTTATGCAATTGAAAGACATAGAACTCCTTATGATGTAGTAATCCATTATTGTATGTTTGGTTAGGTTTGTATGTATAGCTCAGTTCATGTTAAATCTAAAAGCCACTTTAGTTTGTATGTATATACAATTGGTGATTACTATATCCATAATCTATCCATCAGTATGTTCATGGTCTAACATAAGATTATATGACTATTTAACGAATGTGTTACAGGCTGTTAAATCTTATTTTATCTTGTGAATTTCTCAATATGTTGGTACAATCTGATAATTTTGTTGTATAGGTTCCTTTTATCCTTGTTGATGGAAGAAAATGGCGACAATCTTATGATCTAAGAGTAAAATTGGCTGGGTCAAAGCATCATTTAGCTCTTACAACTGTATACCACAATCTGCAGCCTATAAACTAAAGAGTCTTGGCAAATAGCCCGTTGCTGTCAAAAGTGGTCAATTTATTGTTGAAGTCAAGCCCCAGGTATATATTGTCAAAATATTTTCATTTATTTTAAATGTCTAAATTGTAAGTTAGAGCTTATTAGCTCTTTGATGCATTACAGGTTTGCCCCAAGGAGAATGTACTCAAAAACCATTAATACGACCCCAAATCATCTACTTTCACAGAATTGGTTATATATCCCAAACCATTTAGAGGTACCCTTTTCCCCTCTTATCTATTTAGCTTTAATTGGTTATATATCACAAGTTTTTTTTAGGGAAATTAATATTTTTAACCGAATGTGCATAATGTTATAATGAATATATGGCTATTTGACCTAAATGAATCATTTATGTGATAACGAACGACTGAAAAAATGAATGGTGTACCTAATGAAAAAAATGATGTACTAAGTTATTAAATATAACATCTAGATAACAAAAATCTTAATATTAAAAGCAGGATATTAATGTAAATCAACCAAAATCCAAAAAAATAAAACGAACCATAGCCTTAAAATTTGTTACCTAAGTTCCTAAATTTCTAACAACCATTCTACCAAATCACCAAACATTATTTAAAACTTAACCAACACGAACCAAATTATTTTGTTTGTTAAACCAAAATAAAATCACTTTTCCACTTTTGGAACTAAAAGTGGATTTCCATCTCCCATTGATTTTCTTTTGGATTTAGTTGAACTGAAATCAATTCCACTATCAACATCATAAATGTCATGGAGGTTGCGCTTCAAATCAGATGATATTTTCATTGGACTTGTTGCCGATGATTTATCAACTGTTGCGAGAGTAAAACTCTCATCTGTTTGTGATATGACATCCTGAATTAAAAATACATAAGTTGACAATTGGAATCATTAAATATAAAAGTCATTACTTTAATATAAAATACCTTTTCAACAGTTTGAACAACATCATCTGATTGCAGTGGTACTTCATTTAAGGAGACTGATTGAACACTCTACAAAATAAAATGTTAATATGTAAAATGTTTTGTATGTAAATAAAAAACAAATATAAATGTTGAACATTTAAACATTATGTACTATAACTTCTAGTTTACTTTCCAAGTCCGAAACAATGGAGACATCTTCTGTAAGTTTGACAACAGTGTAGATATTGTTATAGTTGATCACATTGTATGATGTAATATCCACAAGAAAGGCAAACTTCCTGTTTTTCAAAACGTTCATTTGATTTGGAAATAGGTGCAAACTGTCACCGGCCTGTTAGAAGATTGTTGGATATATTAATTCTAATAAAATTTTGTATATGATAAAAAAATATGAAAAAAATATTATACCGCTTCATGTATTTTTTTCAACTCGAATGCACTTATATCCAACAACCTTTTTGCTTCTCTATCAAAAAGAGTTAGTCCAATGGTGCCAGTATGATCTTGTACATTGACTGGAATTATATACCAAAAAAAATTAGATTAATAGTTATTTTGATGAAAAATTGAAATGATTAATTAATATAAATAGATATGTGTGTACTTGATAACAGTATGAAAATTCGAATCGTTGCAAGCTGCATTTTTACACTTAATAACAACACTATCTTCCATCTTGTCGGGGGCGGTATAGGAAAGATTGGTTTTGGGCACATTGTTTACCCTGCTTCCACATTTGTAACACGCTTCGTAATACCAAGGTAGATTTTGTCTTATATTCACAATTGAACCAACTAATAGAAATTTCATTTCCTATTTCAAAAAACCTCTGTTAAATTAAATAAAAAAATGTTTAAATAAAGTTTAAAGATATAAACTCAATAAAATATACCTTTAGTGGTTTTGTGATTTCACAAACAGTTTTTAAAGGGAACTTCCCTTTGAAATCATCCATATAAGAAGAAGAGTAGCTTGGAAGTGTAGTTATGCTTTTTTCCAACATACCACCATTGTTATCTGCTTTCAACCTGTAATGTTAAAAATTATATTATTAAATATTAGTAAATATAAGAAATTGTATTCATTTAAATAATAATAGTAAGATAAATATGTTTAATTGAAAATGAAAAAACTAACTCTTTCTTAAAGTGATTAATCTCCACGATGTCAGAATTAATGAACATCTTCGTTACATCGAAGTGACTTTGAGATTGACCAATTCCTGTAAAAACAGATAAGTGAATAAAAGAAATATCGAAAACAGATTAGGTCACATCTCTACAAACCATTCCAAACGTTAAGTTTGACAAACTGCATCACTATAACAACACAAGTAACCGTGGTGTTGCTTTTCAGGTACTGTGACATTTGGTGTGCCTGACTTCCAAATATAGTGACATTGAGATGTACAGACCTAAATATAAAATTAATTTAATTAGTATGAAAAAACAGGATTCAAAATAATAAATAAATGAAATAAATATCAGCTCACTGTAAGTTGGTAATAGTCATGTTTATGTAATGTCTTGATGGGTTAGGATTGGTTGTCTCAAGAGGCCTAAATGAGACAATTTGCCCAATAACATCTACATAATATTTTTTATAAAAAATAGTATATAAGATTAAGGTAAATAATAACATACTTTAATTTATAATAAATTACACAAGTTATAAAAGTCAATGGAATAAAATAAAACAACTAACCAAAGAATGAGTCTCTTGTGCATTTCTGTTCGATGATAGAGTTAAAATCAGCAAACACAAAACCATTAACTGGACCCAAAAAATCATCACATTTTTTTACAATACTTTTACAATCCAAAGTTATTGTCTGTCTCTGACCGGTAACACTAAAACCATTTTTAACAGCCGCCATGTTTGGTTTTAAAATGATATAACTTTCACCTTCCTTTATAAGGTCACGAAATCTGGAAAAATTTTGGCTGAACACACGTGATTGGTATTTGGTAGCCTGATAAAAGAAATAAAAAAATCATTCATTGAAACATATGAAATATTTAGTGGTTTTAAAAAAATTTAACTAACCTCCTCGCCCATGATGATCATTTCAATTGATAAAACTTGGTTATTTTTTATAAAATTCCAAATCTTTAACACCCGTACTTTGAGATGTGAATCATCAGTGATATGTTCAATGTCTTTTAGGTATATTTTACTGCCGATATTCATTTCCTGCAAATTATTCATAGCATATTTAAATTAAAAACAATTTAGTATGACCATGGGCAAAACGGTTGAGCAGTGAAGAAAATAAACAATTAAGGAGTGACTGTTAACAAAGCATACATATATTTATATTAATATCAATTTTGTATGAAAACAATTAGGCAGTCACAGTGAAGAAAGCTAACATATTTAAATTAATATCAATTTTGTATGAGAATGGGCAAAACGGTCATTTATGTTATTTATGAGGTGATACATATATGAGCAGGGTCATGTCATCTTACGAAAGTAATGTTACTACCGTCCATTTGTTTGTACAATGTACAAAAACTATTGAATTTTAGTTAAAATAATGCAGTCAAAGTAAACAAAGACACATAAATAAAGTTGCTGCAACAGAAACAAATTAAAGCCATATTGGTATAGTTATTCAAAAGTACAATGCTATACTTGGTTTATTATTACAGTTTTACCCTTTGAAAGTATAATAGCTCCTGTATGAAACTTTAGCTCAGAAAACCATAAAAACTTGAAGTAATCTAAACAAAATATATACTATATATCTATGAAAGTAGGATGCTATTCATAAAAGAAAATATATGTATCATGCTATATTTATGAAGTTTTACAAATTATAAGAATGTACTTTGAAATTATAGCAGCATCATTTATAGTTTTTATTTATGTGTATTATTTATAGCAGCAAACTTTCATTTTATATGTTCAGTTTTGACAATTATAGCATCATTTTCTGTACATTTACAAAAGAGGTCCTCAATACACTAACATACAGAAGTTGTCCATGTAAATTTAAAAAAAAAAAATCCCTATGTTATAACTTTTTATCACACAGATGATGCTCCTGTTCATTGTTGCTGCTGATGATAGATACAACTTACAGTAAGAGATACACAATGTAAGAGATACAAAAACGGATTGATAACAGTGACAAATAGAATTAGATAGATTAATAGTAATGAAGCAGATACAAAAGTATATATCGATAATAATGAAGCAGATACATAGATCATACACACACAACGTGACAGATAAACGAACGGGTTGATAACAATGACAAATCGATTGAGAAAGAAGAAGATAGAAGTCGACTTAAAGAAAAAAACAATGAATAATAATAACAGCACATCAATTTTAAAAGCATACCTTAAAGCAAAAACAGTAGGCGACTTGAAGATATTCAAGAAATTTTTCTTCTTCTCTGAATTTTGGAATCTCTGTGAATGAAAATAACCGTGAGCATGTATTTAAGATTAATCGATTAGGTAAATTACGGGTTTTTAGGAATTGATAAGCATCATATATTCAAAAGATACGTTTATCTTTTGAAATTAAATATTGATTATTTACTTTCCATTTTTTTTAATGTTGCAGAAAGAAGTCAATTTCACGTCCAGATTTTTAGGCATCGATTGGTTACTTGAAGGGCAATATCGGAAATTAACATTATGACAAAGAGTGGGAAAAATCGAATGGGGGTGGCTATTTGACTGACATGTGGACAATTTCTACCTATTTATTAGAATAGGGGACTAGATTATGACCCGCCTTAAACGCGTGGAACATAAATTAAATACATATCACATTAATTGGTGGCTTTGTCTTAGGTGGAATTTTAATAAAAAAAATGTTTGTTAGATTCATTTTTAGAGTTTTTGAACCAAACTTTTTAAATAAAAATATTTAATATTTATATTAGAGCAATTTGGTTTTTTAATACAGTAATTTTTAACAAAAATGATCTACGTGATCTTTGTTTTATCACAACAAAAATGCAACTTCTTCATTAAAACAGGTTGTGTAGTAACTTTATGAATTGACTTTGTTCGGTGTTCCAACTCTCATGGAGGCTCATATGGCTCTTTTCATATTGGTCCTATAAAACTAAAAGTAACAATAAGTTGTTATATGTACCAACAACGTTAAATTCCACAAAGAAATTAGATAAACATTACAAATAAAGTGTATTGCCATACCCATAAACATCAAATTCAGACATTGTAATTTGGTCAATTTCTAAAGTATTTTTTCCTTATAAGAATTAAAATATGATTTTTCAGGTTACACCCAATCACATATACATATCTTCTAATCAAAGAAATCATTACAAAAAAAACATATTATGAACAAAAATATAATATTAGTTTCATAATTTGTCAAAGGTTAACACTAATAAATAATAATAAACTTTCACAAATCTTGCATTTTGGTCACCACATCCAACTAACAAATGAAATTCAGTTTAGAGGATTGATTCAAGAAGTGCATCCATGACTTTTGTAGCTGAATTTAGGGAAATGCTACGATCTACTAAGATATGAGGGAACGGTTCGTGAAACTACGGTTGGTTTCTAAAGGGCAATACAAATTCAAAATCGTTAGCATATATCTTTCCTACCTGCTTCAATTATCAAATTAGATTAAACTTGTCAAAATCAAATTAAAAAAAAAAACTGATATGTTACCTAGCAATCAATCAACATATTTTTCATAGAAACAATATCACAAATCTACAATTTACACTTCATATAATATTCTTAAATTATACATTACATTTTCATATTTAATGGTCACTAACACCTCTTTCTGCCTTATTGTTGTGACATGCATCTATATCGAAAATAAGAGAAAAAACTATAAAGAACGAACGTTGACAGAGTGATCCTTCATTTAAAACGCAGCAAAATTCTTCATAGAGCCATTAGGATTCTTCTATATATCGCTAGAAGGTCTCTATAGTCACAACCAGTGTGGTATCCATGAGAACGCACCACTTAAAGTAACAATTTTGATTAATGTAAGTGAAAAATCATTTAGAATGTTTATCAGATGTGATTGTTTCCACTTAGATGTGAACATTAACATTCGTGTAGAGAAATTGAACATCAAATGAACCCTGCATAGCCAAATTAACAAACATGACAACACAAAAAGAAGCCTAACTTGACATATAACGAAATTTCCAACAAATTTCAAAATTTTAAGGTTTCGCTGAACAATTTTTTCAATTTATCAAAATTTTATTTTATTACAACCTTATATGAGTAATCAAAAATCATGAAAATCATATATTATTTTTCTTTCTTTGGAATAAATAGTTTTTGCTTGCCTTCTCCAGAAGTATGATCTGTCATTGATGTTGATGATCGTTTGGTTGAGGAGATTGTTGCCAGATTATCGACATCGTAAACATCTTCCAGGTTGTGTTTTAATTATTCATGTCTAGACACTTTTTTAAAGGATGTCCACTTAGTTAGTGGACTTGCTGCAATACTTTTATCAAGATTTGAAGCGGGTGTCATGTTATCACCAGGAAACGAAACAACATCCTAAATATAGAAAATAAATTCATATTTCAATTTAAAAGTTAATAATATCTTAAAATATTTTAAAATATTAGATTTAGTTATATTATATTTAAAACCTTTAAATTTAATATGTCTTGAAATCCGAATTATGTCGATAAAACATTAAAAGAATTGGATTCTGGTGCATATATTTGTAGTACATAGAAATATGTTAGTTGATCAAATTGAAATATAAAAACAAAATTAAATAAGTGTGGTGTCTGTAGTATTTTTCGTAAAAGAATGTCACCTGTTCGATGTTAATTTTTTTTTTCAATTCAACAATGATTGTATTATCAACATTGAAGTTTGAGATTGCATAACCATCAACTTTGTTCTTCAAATTATAATGTGAAATTTGAATTTTGAACGCCAACTTTTTATCCAAAAGTAAATTCAAAGGAGATGGATAAATCTTCATATTACCCTCCTAAAAAATGAACGGTTATAAAATTAGATAGACAAAAAGTAAAAATTAGTTTTATGTAAATGAAGTTAATATCAATAACCTCATTAAGCTTTTGAAGCAAGTCTTGTGTGCTTTTTTCCAGAAGTTTCTTTGCGTCACGATCAAATAACGTAAGTGACACCATATCGGTAAAGTCTTGCACTCTAATGGTGATTTTGAAACTAAACCACTGATATAAACAAATTCAATAATATAAAATTAGAAAATTTAACCGAAGATTATAATAATGTGTAGAAAAGTGTTATTGAAAACCTTGGAACAAAAATATGTCTTTGTTAATGCAAGTTGAAGTGTAACAATAAAAGACTTCTTTATCTTGCTTTTGGTCCGTTCCACCAATTTTGTCATCATGCATTAAAACGGCTTTTATGGCTTTATCTTGACAAACATAGGTCAACACATTTAAAAAATCGATATAAATGATATAATTTTGTTTCTGTGACAAAATGAATGAAACTAATATGCTTAAAGCAGATTGATAAATTTTTTTCATGACCTATCAACAAGAACATAGTAATAACAGGTAATAAGAACAGAGTCAATGCAAGAAATTGGAAAATAATAAGGAGAACAGAGTAAAGAAAGAACCTGGAAAAAAGGAATTGGAGAAGAAGATCGCTGAAGAAGAACACTCACAAGAACACTCTTATATCTTCTCTCAAATTTTCAAGAATTTGAACATCTTCAAGAAGAGTTTCATCATCAAAATCATCAATTCTTGGTAAGTCCTACCACACTTAAGTTGTATAACTTCATCTTCATGTTAGATCACTCATTCTAAGTAAGTTTTTGGTGATCATACTCCTAGAAACCTACTAAGTTCGAGATCCATCCAAGAAAGCTTGCTAGGGCCGAAAATAGCATCAAACTCTTTCACTTCTTTTTCAAAACCGAACCCACAAACTCAAGGTGAGTTCATACCCCTCTCTTTTTGGTTTTCACAAGTTTTATGGGGGAGAATACAAGTAAAATGTGTAGATCTATGTGTATGTGTATGTTATGTATGATTTCATGTATGTATGTGTGATTTTATGTGTTTATGTGGTAAATATGTAACAAAAGGGAAGAAATCTCGAGATCTATGACACAAGAGAGGAAACAAACATGATATAATATACTTTTATTGAACAAGTCAAGAAAAGTTCCTAGCTTAAGTCATAATAAACAAAATGCAACATAAACTCATTTTTGGGCTAAATTTGTCAAACAACTAAAAGTTGAGTTAAGAGTTGCCATCCACGGATTTCTTAAGGACTAAAAGAGTCAAAACAGTAAAAATAAATGTTTTTATGAATATCATACTCTTTAAAGGGCTAGAAATGTAATTTGTAGCTTAATGGGCCAATTTTTGGGCTTTTCGGCCCATTGAGCCCAAAATTGCGAAAAACCAAATTTTCAAGGGATTGAAATGATAAACTTCTCAAAACAGGAGGTAAAAAGGGTAAACAAAACCAATTCAGGGGTTAAAATGATTTATTTTCCAAACAAGGATAAAAAATGTAAACTTTTTGGATTTTGGGCCAAAATTGTAAAAGTTGCGAAAAGTTTGGGTTTTAACTGAAAAATTCCTTACTGGAAGGGCTGAAACTGCCAAAGAGTAAATTTTGAACAAAAATCACCTTTTAAACAAGTCTATGGGGAAAAAATGTCAAGAAAATAGTTTAAGGGACTAAAAAGTTTCTTTTTTTTTTAAAATGAGGGACTAAAATTGTTATTTTTATTAAAGAAGGGCTGAAAAGGTCAAACCAACATTTTGAACCAATTATTTTGTTTTAAGATATTTGAGTCAAAAATACCAAACTACAACTCATGAAAATAGAAAGATGAATATACGTATAATTCCAAATATCGTTATAAACAACCGACCGGCTTCGTGCCGATACGAAGATAACAATAGTTCAATCAAACTTTCCAACAATTATACTATACCTAAAACAAGTAAATATCCAAATAGTTGGGCTTGAAAGATCCTAATCATGCTTATTGGACCTTCGTGGCCCATTGTCATGACTTTTGGGCCTAACACTAATAATAAATGTTAATTGGGCCTCCGGTGACCCAATTACATGTTTAAGGGATCCTCAATGGCATATATATGCTATTGGGCCTTGGTGGCCCATTAGCATTGCTAGTAAGGTCCAAAATTAAATCAAATATGAAATGGGCCAATGCGTCCTTCGTATAACCCACAGCCTTAAATAACACACGTAATTAGCAGGACCTTGTAATCTTCTCCTCGTTTGTTAGGCTTACCTTCAATTCAAGTAAACAAATACAGGTCGTTAATCAATAGTAATCAATTTCGTTTGGATTAAGTGAGTAATAACGGGCGACTCCTCTGAGGGTCGTTCGTAGTCTGTAGTTATAATCAAAGTCTCCTGGAAGGAGAGCGAGAGTTTGTGTATAGATCTATACGGGGGTGACTCCCCCACACCTCAGCTGTTCGCTACAGTTAGACTCGGCCAGTCTAGGGTGACAAAATCTTAAGATCAATTCCGGCGTACATTAGGATGCCAAGACAGACGAACTAGTCATTATTATGCATGGTTATAACGACTCACGTAATTAAATAAATCCAATACCATCCGAGTAATCAAGGAAAAGTAATCAAAATCACTCGTGTAGCAGTAT